AGTTCCATGAACTCATATCCCTAAGACCTAAACCACCCTCTTTTTTAGGGTAAGTGATCCTTGACCAAGCAACCACTGCCTTTTTCCTAGCTCCATCCCCCACACCCTATAGAAAATCACTACAGAGCTTCTCAATAGATCTTATAACAGCTTTGGGCAAGATGAAGATAGACATCCAAAACTGGGTAAGGCTATACAACACAGACATTACCAACTGAAATTTACCAGCATAGGATAGAGTTTTTGACTTCCAACTAGCAATCCTCCTTGTGACTCTATCAATCAGAGGAGCACAAGCTCTAATTGCGAGCTTTCCTGCCAGCAAGGGGAGGCCTAGATATCTTACAGGGAGAGCCCCCAGTTTATAACCAGAGAACTCAGCCATAACCTTTTGCCAGTGCTCACTAATTCCCCCACAATATAACTCACACTTTGCTGGATTCGACTGAAGACCTGACATAGTTCTAAACTCTGCCAGCACTTTTTGAATACATTGTATTCCAAAATTGGATCCATCAGAGAAAAGCAGTAAATCATTAGCAAACATAAGGTGAGTAAGATTGAGCCTCTTACACATAGGGTGAAATGGCATACTATTCTGCTTAACTGCTTCATTCATAAGACAAGAAATAATTTCCATTGCAACAGCAAACAAATAAGGGGAGAGGGGATCACCCTGTCTCAGATCATTCTTAGCTGAAAAATAGCCAACTGAGCCTCCATTAAATCCAACACTAAGCTTCGGAGTTGTCACACGCATTCTCAACCAAGATAAGAACCTAGCAGGAATCCCCATTGCTTTCAGAACAGTAAACAAAAACCCCCAATCCACATAATCAAAGGCTTTCATCAAGTCAACCTTTGTTAATGATCTAAGGGATATATTCTTCCTACCATACTTTTGGACCAGTTCATGAGCAAGCAAAATGTTTTCACCTATAACTCTACCCTTGACAAAAGCTGTCTGAGACTCACTTATAATACTAGGCATGACAGAGCTTAACCTTGTAGCCAGGATTTTTGCCATACACTTATAAAGGATATTACAACAGGAAATTGGTCTAAAGAACTTCATATCCTCAGGGTTTTGACCTTAGGTATGAGAGCCAGGAGGGTGGAATTGATACCAATAGGTATACTAGAGACATGATAACAGTAGAAGATAGCATTTGTTACCTCGACCCCAATGATACTCCATGAAGCCTGAAAGAAACAAGCAGGGAAGCCATCAGGGACAGGGGCCATCTCACCATTAAATCCAAACATAGTAGATCCAATTTCCTCAGCAGTGACAAGTCTACACAACTCATCAGCCTGACCCTGAGATAACTTTTTCATCAGAATACTGGAAATCTTTTCAACATCAGGAATCACCACATCTTTATCCTTCTCACCCAACAGTTTCTGATAGAAACCTTCATCTATCGTTGCCATACCATCAGTATCAATAACTCTTTGGCCATTATCATCCAACAAAGACCTAATCATATTCCTCTTCTGTCTACTCTTAACTGAGTTATGAAAGTATGGTGTGTTGGAATCTCCTTCCTTTAGCAAGATTTCTCTTGACTTCTGACGAAAGAAAGATTCCTCAGCCTCCCTAAGTTCTTTAACTTCCTTTGCCAATCTGATCTCAACTGCAAAAGTGACTGGCGAAGGTTGCTTTAGTGCATCAGCCTGAGCCTCAAGCAACTCAGCAGCTTTCAGCCTAACTCTTTCAGACAAATCAGAATAAACATCCTGGTTTAACTTCTTAAGGAGACCCTTTAGCATCTTCAACTTCCTACACACACGCATAAGAGGAGACCCCTCCACTTTATATCTCCTTATTTGATTTGGGACCCTATTCTATTCACCTCTTTGGGCTTCTATTGAATCGAGAAATGGGTTTACCCAAGCCTCCTTTACCAAATCCATGAAGCTAGGATGCTTGATCCAAAACTTAAAGAACTTAAAGAGCTTAGGTAGGGACTTCACTGAACTATCAGTATTTAAGTATATTGAGCAATGATCTGACACTGATGGGTCCAGCAGATCCACTGTACTTGCAGGCAAATCAGCAAACCATTTAGTATTCACAAAAACATGATCAAGCCTCATGGCAATGGGGTTGCCCACCTGCTTGTTAATCCAAGTAAACCAAGGGCCTGAAGCCTTATGTTCTTCCAGATCACAATCATACTGCCACTGTCTGAATTCAGACATACTACTAGAAAACTGAGGTGCATTTGAAGCTTCACTTATATCTCCTGTGGCATTAAAATCCCCCAAAACTGCCCAAGGAGCTGAATTGATATGACAATGTACCAAATCCTTATACAGAACCCTTCTCTCCACCTCCTCATTTGATGCATAACCAACTGAAAGAAAGAAAGGGACACCAGAAGCTACCATGATATGAATAAACTGATCCGTTTGATGAAGGACAGTAAGCTTGATATCAGACCTCCAAACCAACCACACTTTTCCCAATCCCATAGAATTGTTGGAGACTTTGAATTCCCAACCAGGGAACCTTTTGTTTATCATCCCTTCAGCTTTATTTGCTCGAACTCTAGGTTCTAGTATAGCTAAAATATCTATATTATGTCTACTAACTAGCTGTTGAACAACTTTATTCTTATCCGAGTCATTAAAACCTCGGATATTCCACACAAGCACTTTCATATCTTCTTACCCACCCGCCCCCCTTTGCGGGGAACAGCAGGAATAACCACTTGAGGCGTATTTGGCCTTCTCTTAGAACTGCCTACTGTGATCCAAGGGTTTGGTTCTTTCTCCTTATCTGTTGTAGGAGACTGAGAAGCTATCCTTCCAGATTCTGGTGAGAAAACTTCAGCAGGCTATTGCATCAATTGACTTGGACTCTTAGACTGACCTGATGATCCTAAGACAATATCAACAAACCTAGCAGCAGGCCCCCCATAGACAGAGGAATAGGAGTATTAGGCCCTGAACAGGCAATTTCCTTGCCTTTAGGCTCCCCAGTCATTACTTTTCCCACTGCCTCAACAACAATATTGTTCTCAACTCCATACTGCACTCCCTCCACAGGGTTTTGCTGTGCATCTACCTTCACAGAACTAGTCTCCAGAGCACTATTAGCCCCTTTGACAACCCACCTCTTATTACTTATAGCATTTAGTGAACAATCATGACCATACACTTGACACACCGGACACACTCTAGGTAGATTCAAGTATTCAACCTCAACCTCAAAGCAAGGATCATCATCAGGGTATAGACGAACCTTTAAAGGGAAACCACACTACGCTGTAAGATCGAGACAAAACTTTGCAAACCCCAACTGACCACCCATCCTGGTAGCCTTATCCATCCAGAGAGGCGGACCAATCGTGCTCGCAACCCATTCCATCCCTTCAAGCGAATGATACTCCAATGGGAGACCTTTGATAGTTACCCAGATAGGTAGGGATTCCACCAATAGGGTCACTGGCTGAATCCTCGGAACCCATTTCCTGAGGAATAGCTGGTTACCCTGGAAATGCCACGACCCCGATCTGAAAACTCACTGACTAGTGGACGCCGATGGGAATTGGAAAACAAACATGCGCGATCCAAATCGAGATACTCGAACAATACCATCCCTCCCCCAAATCGAAGTAGCCCAGGTCTGGAGCTGAGCTGCCTTGGGTTGAGCTCCTACAAATTGCCCGATGAAACAATCCTTCCAGCGCTCTTCCCCTTTCTTCTTCACCTCTCGGGGAATCCGAAAACCATCATTCACGCACTCCGGAGGATGAAATTTCATCCTTTTTTTCCGGCGCGATGTCAAATAACTGCGCCCAAGAACTAACCCCAGAACCCTTTCCTGTCGCCGGAGCAGATTCTGACGACGAGGCCGCCATCGCAGGAGACGACGCAAACCCGAGGAGAGAGGAGAGATTGGTCAAATTTTGTTCTTCTTATCCACAACAACTTAAAGTTGTACCATAACTTAAATTTATAGTTTCAGGTTGTACCATAAAGGAATTTGTGCTCTTATGTTATGGTACAACTTTATAACTTAAACTTGTACCATCAAATGAAAGTACAAGTTTAAGTTGTACCATAAAACAATTTGACAAAAGAGTATAGGTACAATATGAAGTTGTACCATAAAGGGAAAAACCTATAGCACCAATACTATATAGCATTGTAAAATTCCTCTTCTATTGGCCCATATTAATGAGCCTTTAATGAAAACACAACAATTTACTTGTATTGAAAAATTATTTCACCATTATAAAAAAAGAGTTGGGAACAAGACTATACATGGCTGCCTCGTCATCCTTTATAGCACATCAAGTTCTTTTGTGATGTTTCCATTGTGATTTCTCGTCTTTTTGGCCTCCTTCATGAGAGCTTTAGTGTAGTTGCACATATTTCCGATATGTTTTTAGAGAACTTGTGGTCATCTTTATGATGATTCTGGTTTGTCTCCAGAATTTTGTGATCAACTTGTGGTGTGCTTTCTACATTTTTCGGTATCATTTATGAGGTTCTTATCTACTTTTATGACTTTTGTGCCTTGTGGTGTGGTTTGTCGTGTTTCTGATGTAATATGAGTAGTATGTGAGAGTTATTGTAAGTTTTGTGCCTTGTGGTGTGGTTCTGAGTTATTGTAAGCTTTGTAGTCTTGTGGAGTAGTTTTGTAAGTTTTCTGATCTACTTTAGAAAACTTATGGTCAGTTTTGAGTTTTTTTGTTTGTTTTATGAGTTTTTGGTATGCTTTATAAGCTGTCTGGCTATTTTATGTTTTTTGTGATATGATTTTTTGTGTTAATCGGATGAATTTTTAGTATGTTTTATGATAATTGTAGTATATACAAGTGTGCTGATTAATTTTTAAAAATTATAAACGTGCCTCTATTTTTAAAAATCAACACTAATTGGTCAATTCCTTTAACATAAAAATCAGCAAAAGAAATATTTTTATTGACTTGACATTAATGTTAGTAGGACGCTAATGTTGAAACACTCCATTCTTCCCCGATTTGCATTTTCGACCATACTGAAAAGCAACCGCATCCAAATCCGCCCTACCCTGGCAACAAGGGAAATCGTTCCCTTTGAAGACGAAGATCGCCTCTAATGTCGGAACAATGACTGAGAGAAAAGAAGTCGAAATCCAACGCCTTCCTGAAGATATTCTCGCATGGGAGGTTAATTAGCTGTTCTATCGTGTCTCGAGAGAGCAAACCGGAAGGAGAGAGATGAATAGGAGGCACAGCAGCACAGATGTCAGGCATGTAAAACCGCAGAGCTGCAAAGTAATACAACCAACATTTTACGAGAACAAACTGATCGTTACGCTTTTTCCTCACCTCACCACCGTCCGCACCTCTCGCCCCCTCTCTCTCTCCACCACCGCGCGCTACACTGCAACGACACCGCACCGAGCGCGCCAGACTCAAATTCTCGGAGCTTTAATGGTTCTCCGCTAAATTATACCCCCCGTCTCCGCAATCTCAGGTTCTCCCCCCGCGATTCCCTCCACTTCTCCTCTCCAACAATCTCTACTTCCTTCCATTTTACCCTCTCTTCTTCCCTCATTTTCTATGTTAGTTTCCGTCTCATTCCTTGTCCAGATGTTTTGTGGGTCTGCGTTGTTTTGGTGAATCCGGCTTTCTCTGCATTATGGGTTTCAGATTTTTTTAGAATATATGATATTTGTTTACGGAAATGCATGGTTCCTGCTACAATTTGTTCTCTGTTACCGCTCTCTGCTGGGTTCTTCAAATAGTCTGTTTTCCCTACAACAGGAAAATACAGGATCACAATTGGAGAACGGGTGCGGTTCTTTTGTTATGTATTTGGTCTTTGGACAATGGTGAAAGCCACACCCGTTATTTAGTTTATCCTGGGCTGAGACGGATGCTTTTTAATTGCAGAAGTGCACAATTTGTGTAAATGAAGTGAGCAGAGGCCCTGGTACAGGAATCTTGAGAAAATTATATTTTGGTGGCTTTGCTTCATCTGGAAAGGCTTTTTCTTCCTTGCTTCTTTATTAAAGAGATGGGAAGGGTCAAGCTAAAGATAAAGAGGTTGGAGAGTAGCAGTAATCGGCAAGTAACCTATTCCAAACGTAGGCATGGAATACTGAAGAAGGCCAAGGAATTGTCTATCCTATGTGACATAGATATTGTCCTTCTCATGTTTTCTCCAACTGGGAGGCCTACGTTATTCCATGGAGATCGCAGGTAACGTCTCTTACTTTTGGTCCCTTCATTGAAATGAACTTCAGAAAAATGTATTTTAAGTAGACCTAGCTATCCACCGAATTTATGCTGAGGCGAGCTATCTTGGTGCCTGATGTAGGAACATTGAGTAATCTAACTTGTGAAGCCATGTGCTTGTTGAATTTCAATGCGTCTTGTTGGATCGAAAATTCATAGACTATTGGTGTACCTAGGCTGCTGCCTAAACTAGGGTTGCTGGAACTATGAAAAAAGATAGTCGAAATTAGGGGTTTGATAGGTAATATGAAGGCACAATCACTACACCAGAAGGTATTAAAGTTTGGTAAATCGGAGCCACATCTCACAGCTAATGAGCCTAAGATATCACTAGGTACCTTGAAGCTGATATACAATATGAAAAATATGTTAGAACTAACCTCCTTATATAGGAGTTACCAACTTAGTGCATCAAGCACTAGTCAATCTCTCTATGGCAAGAAAGTTGATGAAACTTGGAAGTAATTGTGATCATTTTACCCCAATACTAAGGGATGAAACTTGTGATTCCTTCATTGTTGAAATTTTCCCATACCAAACATTTCACATGTGTTGTTGTTCCATTCATCTATGGTTGGACCCATTTGTTGTTTCTTTACTTTTGTCATCTGTTCCGCTACTTTAGTGTTTAGGAGTTCTGTTGACCACCAAAAGTTCTCTTGCGACCTTCAAATTCCAGTTCATCTTGCTATTTTGTTCTTTGATCGTCTCTTTGTTTTAGTGGTAATGAGCCGAAAATAGTCGCCTCAGGTTTAAAGCACGTAATATTAATTGATTGTTTGGTTTTGCTACAATTCTCTTCTTTTCTTCCTCCTCCCTCCTTGATTCTACAACTTTTTGAGTAGCCTTAGGAGGTTAGTTCTCCACACTTCCAATCCATGGATTTCGGTGTAGAAATAGATGTGACACCCCTGGTACCTTGATTGGATGCAAGGATTTGCCTTTGTTTCTCAATTTAATAATTAGTTGAATAACATCCTGAAGAGTGTATTAGCCATTAGGTTTGTAGCTCAACTACATTAGCTATTTTTCATGAGTAGTACCCTCGTGCATGATTTTCTTTGGATTCATTGAGGTTTCATTTACATTGCGGCATCTCATATTGTGTATTTGTGTTACACAATCTTCCACATGCTTACTTCGTTCCTCAATATTCTAGCTCTCGCTTATAGTATCGAAATATCTCTTATGCATTAATAGTCTCCAAATCTCCCAAATCTATGTAGTATCCCTTCCCTCATTGAACTGTCTCCTACTTCCTCTTCATTGTCTACTCGAGCAACTTGAACAAGTCTTGTAGAATGAGCCCTTTTAGCTGGACGAACTACTAGCAATTGTTGAATGGAATTAATGAGTTGAGTTAGAGATTCTTGAAGAGATTGAAAGGCAAACTCTCACCCCTTTGCTTCATCTTCGCTCATTCTTTCTATCTATGAAGAGGATGATAATAGTCTTGAGTGTGCATTTTTCTAAAGAAACAACAGTTGAAACCTCAGTAAACCTGGTTTTGATACCAAGCTGATGTAGCTAGGCTGTTTCGAACTATAAAAAGAACTATGGTGGTTCGAACTCTGGAAAAATAAAGTGATAATTAGGGTCTTGATAGGTGCCAATTGGTATTAAGGTTCGGTAACTCAGCTGCACAAACTAGGGATAAGTCTATGAAATTAGAAACAATAAATCTTATAAAACTCAAGTTCGTATTCAAAGTTGATTTGATATATGTAAGTATGTTGCTAAGCTTGTTATATAGGAGTTACAATCAAACTTAATGCACTATAAAATTATCCTATTGAATAACATGCATTTTTTTTTTACAATGGCAACTGATTTAATAAATAAAGAAAATCAAAACTGTTGAACAAAGGAGGGTCAAGGAAAATGACCCAAACCAAACACAAAGAAGGAAAAAACAAAGAAAAAGAAAACTAGCTGGTACAAGCAAGCTGCTACCGAAAACCAAAAGGAGGCGTGAACCAAAAAGCTCAACAGAGCGCATGAGAATAACGTTGTAAAAGCAACAACTCCTTCCATTCATCCTTGCTCCGCAGACTGCACCAGCACCGGAACCGACCAAAATCCAAGATCTACCACAAGAAGACCAAACCCTGAACTACAAACTAGAAGCTGCTGTTATGAAGCACCGAACTGAGGAAAAAGGACTACCAGCCTCCTGTTCGTACTTGATCTTTCTGTGACCAAGAGCCAATCTACCAATTCCGTCAAAGCTGTAGGGCAAAGAGTCTTGAGAGATTGAGAAACCCCCTGGAAGATGAACGCATTTCTTTCATTCCAGACAAGCCAACCCGCAACATGGAGAAGGCAGTGATTGAACCACTCGGTGGGACATGAAGCCTCTCTTACTGGCCATTGTGGAATAGTAGCGCAGATGCAACTTTGAAGAAGCTCTTGACATGGAAGAACTGAACCTGCAAGACACCAAGCTTCTTTAGTGAAAACACACGAACAGAAAATATGGCTGGCAGCCTCAGCCTTTACCCAAACAGGGACAGCAGCGACTAACAATTCGTTATTATATACTAGCTTTATCTAAAAGACTTTTTACGCCAGGAAACCTCTAAAATTATCAATTAGAAAGAAAAAGAGGGAAAACAGTCAAAAGAAAGCAGAATCAACATAGTGATTATGGCAAGAAGAGCATTGCAACAAGAGCGTAATGATTCTGCAAAAGTTGCACCCATAATGATTATGGAAAAAGGAGCATTGCAATCTGTCGTATTAACGAGAATCAACATAGTCTTTCATTGTGTTTGATCATTTTAGTGTTTTTGTTCTGAGTTATTCATTGGGAAGCTAAGGTTTCTTTTGACCTCTAAACTGATCATGACATTTTTTATAACCATTTGTGAACATGCTTTTCCATTTTCCATTGTAGTAACATAGAAGATGTCATTGCAAAATTTGGCCAATTGACTCCGCAGGAAAGAGCAAAAAGGTATGACACTTGAGATCACAAACCACTGTCTCCTCACTGCATATGTTTTGATGATAATGTGACCTGTGTTACTTTCTGTGTAACAGGAAATTGGAGAGCCTTGAAGTAATATTCCATTGTCCATCATATACGATGCAATGGTTTTGTTCGATTGATTTTTGTTGTGTGGACTGAATCATTCTCATGTTATATCTAATAAGCACGTATATATTGGGTTAACTTGAAAATATAGGCATTAAAGAAGACCTTTAAGAAGTTGGACCATGATGTGAATATACAAGAGTTTCTGGGTGCAAGGTATGCATACACTCTTCCGAATTAAGTCAGTGCGTTCGTGCTTTTGACTTGGGGAAACTGAATCAGTATTTCTCTGTTTCCAGGGCCCAAACTATGGAGGTAAAATTACCTTGGGTGCCAACACTTATCATCTACTTGGTTATCACCTTGGGTGAGGTTTTGTCTTCGTCGCTAAATTATTTAACTGGCTTAACTGGTATGAGCAGGAGTTAACTGATCAATCCAGACTAATGGAAGCCCAACTTACAGAATTACACAATAGACTGAGGTGAAGTTTCAGAGCTTTTGAAATGATATATTATTTTACTTTGTTATGTTTTCCTGGATGAGCAGCATCTATTATTATGAGATGGTGCACACTGTTATGTTTAAATGTCTTCCTGATACATATATTTGGTTCAGATGTTTATTGCACAAGCTACTATTGTTCATTGCACACTGGTCTGTTATAATAGTGTAATATATTCCCTTAATTTCTGGTAGCTGTTGGGCGAATCCAGATAAGATTGATAGCTTAGAACAGATTCAGCAAATCGAAGATTCACTTAGAGAGTCACTTCGCCGAGCCAGTCTGCATAAGGTACCTATATGTATCTCTTTTGTAGTCAGATGCTTTTGTTACAAGTGAAGTTTTTATTGTCGGAGAAATTGTTATATGCTATTAGAAAATAGTTGTGCCTATGGTATATATTTCTGCTGGAACCATTTTGTATTTACCCTGAACATTTGGGAAACGCTAGAGCTTCAAAGCTAAATCATAGTTGCATCGTTTTTCACTGGCTTTCTTCTTGTGGCAGGAAAACATGAAAACAAAACAGCGTATGTCCTTGGATTGCTCTAACCAGGTAATGTCAGCCCGCATGCACATAATTTCAGACCTTTCAGAAACAGCTTAAATCTATCCACAATAACTTACCTTATTATCTTACAGTTCCAAAATGCGATTCCATTTCATATGATGATGAATGGTATGCACGAAACCTATTCTATGCCATGGCTTGCAAACAGTGGCAACCAAACTCTCGTCCTAATGAATGAGCCAAATGCATCATCGCATCATAGGTAACACATTACCTATTTGTATCAAATAAACTATTGCTTGTAGATATCACACAATTGCTCCAATGACACTTTATGCACTCCAATTGTTGGCAACTGAGATATAGATATTGGACTTTTCTGTATCCGGTTCTAGTTCCATTATGGTTAACTGAATAAGGGTGGTTTACAGAAACATGGAATGCTCCAGAGAGTCTTCAGCCCCTGGCTACCCCAGTTTCTGTAGTTCTGAGAAACAACCAGAGAAGGGAAACCCTGGATTGATGAATAGCATGGGGCAAGAAGGCAGTCAATTTGATTTAGGTAGCAGTTCTTGCTTAAGTTTACAACTTGGAGACCAATTTCCCTACACTTCATATGGTACTTTGGATTTAGCCGAAGACAAGAAGCTCGAGCTGCAGATTCAAAATAATGCAAATGGATATCCTGGCGTGTATCGGGTTAATAGTGAGGTTGAACTCCCAAGACCTATGTATGAAAATGAGCACAATGTTTGGACTTCTACGGCAGGACCTTCTGGTGTTGCACTTTTTGACCAGAACCCTTACCCTCAGGTAAGAAGCAGTCTGTAGAATTAATTTCTAATTCACTAGATCTGTGGCCACAGCCAGATTGTTGAAATTCAAACGCCTTAAATGATCTTGCAATGTTTTGCAGGCCAATAATGTGTTGTGAAAGAGGTTCTTTTGAATGAAGCAGTTTAACTTTGCGCCGGCTGTACCATATCAATACATCATTAGTGTTCTCTAGTTGCAGATGATGTTTGTATATATGTGAAATGTATCGGTTCAGGCAATCGTAGCAGCAATGCCTGAGTCAATGTGTATAATCATAGCATAGTTAGCTTTGTAGGAAGTGAGCCCTGTTTGGAGGTGGTAGTGGGAGCTCCAGTTGCAGTTCCAATAGTGTTTTCAATTTCCCGTTACATTGTAATCTCTAGGGGCTTTTCCCGGCTCCTAAAGTTAACAGAGAGATCTTCCATTTTTCGAAGAGTTAAAGTCTCATAGCCACTAGGATGATGATAGGGGCCAGTGAGAAGAGTAATAAGTACTGGAAAGTAAAGTGAGAATTCAGAAACGAATGTGGTCTGGTCGCCACCATCTTTCCTTGGTTGTTACTTGCCCTGTACATTAAAGGTTTTCTCTTGCAGTTGCCATACACCACCACACCAAAGATCAAAACACTTTTCCTCTCACAAACCAAGAGAGCCAGTTCCACAGAGAGTACCCAAAAAAGGAGGCTGGCGGAATATTAATAACCCAGATTAAATCTAGTTGCCACTCAATGTTTGTACAATGGTGTTGTGCCATGGATCGGACAAGTGCTGCAACAAGTTCTCAAACGGCCCTTTCCCGGTCACATTGTGTTGGATCACAAATCCCAGGAATGCCAACATTGCCAATCTCCCTGCAAAATTCAGATTCCCCATTCAGCAAAATACAGAACAAAGTTGATGCATAAACAAAATGCTAACAATTTCTGAAAATTTGAGTACCGTTGGCAAGCTCTTTCTCCTTGGCTTCCGGAGTGGGGGCGAAGTTGAGCGGGTTGAAGATCCCACCCGGGTACCCGACTTCATTTGGAGGCAAGCTGTACTGCTTGAAGATCGGGTCCTGATTCACGCTACCGGGGTTCTTGATGTCCTGCCACCTTCTGATCTCCACGTAATGGAACAGGATGAACTCGATCACGAACAGAGTCGAGGACGATGCGAAGTACTCCTGCTTCCCAGCGTCGTACCATTCGGGGACGTTGATGATTCCGATCTTGGTGAACACCTCCGGCAGCAGCATCCCGGCGACTCCCAACATCGCCCATCGCCCGTTCACCAGCTCTGCCTGCACGAACCATTTCAGGTTTTCTGGGTCCTCCGCCAGAGCCAGCGGGTCGAACCCATTGTCACCCGGCAGACTGCAAAAAGAGTCAATACAATTCAATCAGCCTGATCAGGATTTTGAGGGAGGAGTGTTGTAAATTCGAAAAAGAAAAAGCTTCTTGGGATTGGACCCAAGTCTTAAAAGTTGGTCTATTAGCCTACAATCAATCAAATTTCCTATTATATTCTGATGATGATAAACCTAACAGTAGGTAAATAAAAGCTCACCTTCCGCTGAGGTAAGCCGGGGAAGGGAGACCGGGCAACCATTCGCCTTTCTTGGCTTCCACTTTCAAAGAAGAGGAGGCCGAAGCAGCCACTGGTTTAATGGCCACTTCTCTGGTAAGTCTGCTCGGAGACCCGGTCAGGAACCTTGATTTGGAAGCGCATGGCCGGAACACGGCGGCGGAAGCTTGAGTTGTGACAGTCGCCATTTTCCTTGGAGGGTCTCCGGCGAGTGGTGGTGGTGGCAGTGAGAGTTAAGCGATGGGCGAACGAGTTTGTAGTGGTTTGATTTGTATCGGAGTCCGAAAATGTGGTGGGTATTAGTACAGTTGCGCCAAAGAATCAAAAATTCGGTCTACTTGTGGCTGAGGTTGGTGATTAACAGGGGACCGTCGATTGGGAGAGATATTGTTGATCGGACGGTGGAGTGATTTGGGGGCTTATCCTTTTATCTGCTTCTCATATCCAAACTGATCTCTTTCTTCATTCTTGTTGGCTAGGAGATGATCGGGTGGGGCCGCTGGCTTTGCCAAGCTGTCCTTTTATATTAATATATATATATATTTTTATAATGAACAAAGCGCCCTTCTACTTTCACCCAATGAGAGAATGACATGTTCCTGAATGAGGTGCCATTCCATCCTAATAGAATCTCCTATGAGTCCTATCCTTCCCGGATTACACGGAGGGCTATTGGGCTGGGCTGGGAATGCTAATTCAGCAAAAAATTCTTTGTTGCTCGGTTGGTACTTGGTAGTTGATAGCATTAGACCATCTCCGCGGAGCAGATCATGTCAGTAACTAATGGAAAAAATCCCAAAGTACACACGTTCTTAAAAAAAATTCCCAAAATACATAAGTTATAATTTTTTTTCTAAAAGTACACATGTTTGAGCATCACCGTTTTTTACAAAGGCGGTGAAGATTATCACCGCGTTTAATAAAAACGGTGAACATTTCACCGTTTTAAACTAAAACGGTGACGATTTCACCGTCTTAGTCTAAAACGGTGAATGCATCACCGTTTTAAATAGAAACGGTGAAGCTATCACCGTTTTAGTTTAAAACGGTGAGAGCTTCACCGTTTTAAAGGACCACGGTGAAGGCGCTGACGTGGACAACGCGGGGTATTCACCGCGGTAGACAAACACGGTGAATACCCCGTGTTTGTTTACGTCAGCGATCCGCGCCATTGTGCTTTCACCGTGGCCGTTAGATGCGGTGAGGCGCGGATCGTGGTTTTCTTCCCACGATCCGACGCCTCACAGCAGGCCACGTGGACGGGGGAACCGTTTTTGGGGAATGCGATGCCTTCACCGCGTTTGATGAACGCGGTGAATGCTTCCCCCTAATTACTGCGCAGCAGCTCCTCCCCCCTTCCCCCAACTATAAATACCCCCTTCCCCTTTCACTTTCAACTCACCCCACAAACATTTCACTTCTTTCTCCCTCAATTTATCCGCTCTAGTCTCGTTCTAAGTATGCTCTGTGGTTGCGGCTAAGTCCGATCTTCCACATCAGAAAGAATTACTAGAGTTTGACCCTAAAGCCCCCGTCCCGCTAAGTTCCCGTCCCTTACACCTAAACTCGTCGAACCTCTGTCCGGCCTACGCCAAAAAATGGACGAAGAGGCTCTTCGTGTAGGTTTTTTGTTTATGAATTTTTTTTAATCGAAACAATCTGATTTTTTGTTTTTTTTTATCAAAACAATCTCTGATTTCATTACTATTTTATAGATGGGTGCCGAGATATACGATCCTCGATTGTATATCCATTATGGCCCAAGGGATGCGAGTCTCTTAACCGATCAAGAAGCTCATCGCTCCCGTGCTATTTGGGATAACAATCCGGTAATTTTTTGAGTATTCTTGCTTTATTTTATTATTTTCTAAGGTTTTATTTTGCTTTATTTAATCTAATAAATTGTTGTTTTCCCTATTTTTTTTAGGAATCGCTTGTTCCCGTGGTTCATAAAGGGACCAATAACTTGCCCGCTTGGCATCCAAGGTTGGAGCCCTATATAGCGAGGACATGTTTAGGAATGTTGCGCCATTTCTTGCAGATCGAAATCGACAACGATCTGCTTACGGCAATGGCGGAACGATGGCGTCCCGAAACCCATACGTTCCACCTTCAGGAGGGGGAAATGACGATCACCCTCAAAGACGTGGCGATCCTCACCGGGATGCCTATTTCTGGGGATGCCGTCATTGGTCCCCAGACCAAACCCGAAGTAGGTTGGGGGCTGCTCATACGTGATCGTTTGGGCTTTGACATGCCGACCACCACTCCAATCCAAGGACGGGGGCATCCACCGTTGAATGCGGGCCAAGTGTCGGTCCCGTGGCTGGTGTCTCACATCCAGCAAGAGGTTGTAATCAATGACGAGACACCGGAAGAACAAGTCGAGCGCTACGCCCGCATCTACCTCATCGGTTTGGTGGGTGGATTTTTGTTCCCCGAAAAGTCCAACCGGTGGATTCAAGGCATATGGTTGGAGTTGCTCACAGGTGATTGGGATGCAATCGGGCAAAAGAGTTGGGGATCGGCCGTGCTAGCGGGCGTATACCGGGAGCTGTGTACTTGCTCGAAGGTTGGGGCAAAGCAAGCTGGTGCTGTGATGTTCATCCTACAACTGTGGGTATGGGAGCATCTTCCAATGTTCGCACCTCTCGACACACGTCCATACCGGAGAAACGATGATGAGCTCAACTTTCTGCAAAATCTCCCATACGGTGTCAAGTATGTTTATTTCGTACTTAGCTCAATTTAAATTTTATTACATGCTTGAGCTAGAAATAAATTGAATTTATCCCGTACTTAGCCCAATTTAAATTTTATTACATTAGCTAGATTTAATTTGAATTTATATATTTCTTAGCCCAATTTAATTTTGATTACATGCTTAGCTAGATTTAAATTGAATTTATTCCGTACTTAGACCAGTTTAATTTATTATATGCTTAGCTATATATCAATTAAATTGATTCCGTACTTTTACTTACAAGGTGGATAGGAGCAAATACGAATGACCATCAACCTGAGCATTCGTTACTGTTTTATCGTTCTGAGTTAGATAAACCATGGTGGAATCAGGTAATCATGTTTTGTCCATATTTGAACAAGTTAAATTTTGTCAAAGTAAATGGTCGTTAATTCCGATTTTTTTAATGGATATAGGTTATATGGGATCCATATCCACGTGAAGTGGTTGAGCTGCATCATCTTAGGCACCCTCTGGATCACGACACATGGTTGTGCAAGGTGCCATTAATCTGCTGGCACATGGTGGAATGGCACCTACCCGATCGATCCCTGAGGCAATATCGAATGGAGCAACCAATTCCACAAGACCCGCCAGCAGGTTTCAGGGAGCTACATGCTATAGACCTCCGACATTCGTCAAAGAACTGGCAGCGAAAGCATGGATTCTACATCAACATCTGGGAGAATCGACACCAATGGGTGGTGCAAGGGATGCCGGAGACGAGACCGATGGGCTACCACGATGGGTACATGCAGTGGTATCGGAAGTTCACCATGAGATGGGTGTCAAAGCAAGGTGCTGTGATGGGTTCGTTGGTAAGTCATCCTAATCTCCCTCATTCTGAAATATATTTATTTTAAGGTTTAGTTAATTTTATATATTTTGTGCTTTCCTTAGGTTGATGGTTTGGAACACGCCAAGTACACTCTCGAAAGTGCTCCAACCATGGATGAGCGGAAGACTACTTGGTTGACCCGACTTATGAACAACCTCCTGAGTTGCACCAGAGAGCAAAGGAGGGATGTCGTGGCATATCCTCCCGTTCCTGCCCCGGCACGACCCTCATTCCGTGATGATGCACCCATTGTGCCCCCGGTTGAGCCCCCACGAAGGAGCAAACGCAGGCCTCTGCCTACGTTCGAAGAGGTGCGTACAACTCAAGCAACCGAGCTCCCTGAACCGTTCGAGTACCAGTGGGTACCTGCAGCGGATGCCGGTGGAGGGTCATCGAGTCGTGGAGCATCTCAGGAATGGGACACTTTCTCTCATGGGTTCTCTCAATTCCAACATCAGCAACAGAGTTCGATGTATCAGACCCCGCAACAACAAACTCTGCACCCCCCGATCATTCGTCAAGCTACCGGTCCATCTCAGCCACCACCACCACCATATGTAACCCCAGTTGGGGCTCGGGTCAAGAGAAATCCGCGACTAGCCGTTGAGCGAGCCCGCCAGGAAGCAGCGACGGAAGGGGGAAGAAGGGGTCGAGGACGTCATGGAGGACGAGGAGGAAGAGGTGGAGATGGGGGCCAAAATGAAGGGGGAAGAAGGGGTCGAGGACGTCGTAGAAGACATCCTCTGTACTTCCCAGTAAGGAAAGTTCCGTCAACCTGAATAAAAATTTAGGATTTCGTAATTAGTATGAAATATACGTAACAGAAAATAATACAACATTTAAAACCGACACCAGTTGGTAAAATACCTGAATAACCGGTATGCAGTACCCAAAACCGTCAATGCATGGTTTAAAAGCCCAAAAAAGACGATGGAACATCAGCTTATCCTGTACTCGAACTTGATCCTCAGTGTATACATTGTTGTATACTGGGACGAAAACAGTCCCAGGATTGGACTCCTCCATTGCTCCCATAAGTCTAGGGAGTAAAGCATACGAATCCTCCCAATCACCATACACCTCAGTCATGGCTTTCTGCTTACCATGCCATGCTTTTTTGTACTGTATCGTGTAAGAATGTCGATCCTTCACCTCTGCCATGATAGCTTTCACCTTGATATCTGGTTGTGCTTCTATAAGGTGCTTAATAGTTCTCCCAACTTTCTTTGCTTTTAGTTGCCTGTGATCTTGGGAAAGTATAGAAGAGGAGCATGTGTGGATCGTCTCAGCTTTGCGAATCACCCAAGCACCCTTTCTCTTCATATTTGCAGCCCGCAGTTGCCACGTACAACCCTCTGCATCATGCTTACATATGACATGTAGTTGTTTACTGTCAGAATATTTACCTTCCACTTGAAATTGCGCCTCAACGCCTCTTCTGTAAAAGCATCTTGCACAGCGTCTTTCGATGTGAACGCCATACCCACCTCCAAATTGGCCGTCGGATTGTACACTGGCATAGGGACAAAGTCGGGGGGATCATTCTGACTATGTAAAAATTGAGTTGGAACCTGTGTGTAATATGGCGTGGGTGCCTCACGAAATGCCGCCTCATCCTCGTTATCATCAGTATCTTCCTCCTCCTCGCTCACTGATCTCAAATCTTCCTCAGTATCCTCGTCGCTCGACTCGAATGGATAGCTCGGGCTAGAAGGATCAACATGACCACGATCACCAACATCGTCCTCTCGCTCATGTGAAGGACGCCCTGATCGAATGTTATTCTCGATTTCAGACCACTCTGGCCCCCAAGCAGGCCATTCAACACTATCGGCTGGTTGAGGAGGTTGCGAGTATTTGTCCCATCCTGCACTACTCGATCCACCGTAGTTGATTGAACCACCACC